TCGGGGGGGAAAAGATTGGCCCTGTGGGAGTTGGAATATAAGCAGTACTTCACCACAGATGTGGGAATTGTTGGAATATGCGTGGAATTTCACACCCTGAGACCTGATGTGAGAGTGTGGCTAGAGCAAGGCTTAGGACTGGGCCAACATTTAACAGGGTCGTTACAACATGTCTGTGAGCTGATAGGAATGATTCCATGTACAGGGAGAAGTGGAGGGCATAGGCGTGAAGGAACACAAGTAAAGAGCAAAGTCCTCCAAGGCCAGAGCAGATGGAGCTGGTACACGTGGACTGCTTGCGTTTTGCAGGGCTCGCCTCCCACAGCATCACGGAATTCACTCCAAGAACTTGGCTGGGTTTCAGGTGCCATTTACTTGTTCCTGTTCTTCACTAGATCGTAAGCCCAGTGAGTACAGGGCCCCTTGGGAATGTTCTAAAGCAATACTGCAGCCACGGACTCAATGTCTGTCCCATGTTAGAAACTCAGTATTCGCAGTGGTAGACGGATTAATAAACAAGGGCCCTATTTGGCCAATGGTAGCCGGTAAATAAATCTCTGTGAACTTCTATTAAATATGGAAATAAAGCACCCAGGAGAATGCCAAATAAGAGGAGAATGGACATTTTGTATATCTTCAGCTTTCTAGGTCCGATTTTTCTATCAATGAATGCTTGAGTATTTTTCTAGGTTGTTGAGATTAAGTAAACAAAAATAGAGCAGTTGCTAACATTTGAATATCTAGTTTGTGTCAAGAACTCTTCCCTTAAGCATTTACATGTGTTATCTATTTAATTCTTACCTCTGCCCCTTGAAATATCTATTTTGTTATTAGACTTTAAAGACGAGGAACTGAGCCATGGGAGTGGGAAGGAATTTTTCTCAGGGTAGGCAGCAGCTCTTCAGGGGCAGAGTTGGGTTCAAAGCTGAGCATTTTCTCCGGAGAGACCACTTTCCTCATTGTTTTCATGCATCCTAACTCCTCATCTGACACTCCTGCTTATTTTAGAAGTAGAGAATAAACTAAAATTATGTGCAGAAGATTCAACTCTACGAAAAACAAAACACGTGAAAATCAGAGGAAGAACGAAAAACTGGGAAAATATTTTTAGTTGATATCAGAGACAAAACATTAATTTTAATGTAATTAAGGAAATTCCTGAGTAAAAGACAAGAGACTATTAAAAAAAAAGAGAATAAGGAGAGTACACACACACATACACACACACACACACAGCACATGGCCTTTAAATGTATAAAATAAATTTCAATAACAAAGAGACAAATCAAAACTCTACCAAGATGCTACTTTTCACCTATAGGAAACATCAAGGAGTTGGCCCACAGCTCCTTTCAGCAAGGCCATGGGGGAAACACTTTCATATGCTGCTGGTAAGTGGAAAATAACACTAACTCCACAGGGTCATAGGAAAATTTTGGCCAGATCACAAAGGTGGTTACCTTTTGATCCAGTTAATACTATTTGGGGGGAATTAATACTATCTACTTATGAAATTATATATCAATGAGGATATTCCCTGCAGCATTGTTTCTGGTACAAAGACTGGAAACCACCTGAATGTCCGTCGGTAAGAGATGAGTTACTCCAACAGGTGTCCAGACAATGGAAAATCAGCCAGCTATGGGGAGAATGAGGAAGGCCCTTCACTCTGGTTTAGAAAGGTCTCTCATATCTATTGTGATTCCAGAAATGAGCAGAGTACAAGATGCTGTGTATAATATACTTCTAGCAAAGAGAGGGAGCAAACAAGGTAATATGAGACCCTATGGTTTAATCTATATAAAGAGGTCGTAGAAGGATACCCAAAAAATGAATGAATGCACATGTTTACCTAGAAGAGAGGTGAGATGGGAAGGGGCTTTATAAGTACTTTATGTATGATAATGGAGATTTCATGAAAAGTTATGCACGGGGAAAGAAGACTTCACAATATATATCTTGTTGTTTTTTGATCTTTGAACAAGGTGAATATTTTGGTATTTGCAAATTTAAAAGAAAGGGTCTCAATAGGACATGCTTAGAGCTATTATTCTGCTCTCATAGTGGTTTTAAAACATTTGCATTCTACTCCAAGAAGCGTAAGAGATAATGTTCCCCTGGGGACCTGTTCTCATGTGAACCCTCACTAGTAGCAGTGAGCTGGGGCATAAACAGGCAATTTCACGAAAATCCTTCCTAGGGAGATGGTCACAGTGACGAGTGGAATTTCATCCCCTCCAAAAGAGCCATGTGGGAATCCTATGCCCCAGTACCTTAGGATGCAACTTGATTTGGGAATAGGGTCTTTACAGAAGTGATCAAGTTAAAATGAAAATACTAGAGTGGCCCCTAATCCCCTCTGACTGGGGTCCTTATACAAAGGGAGATTTAGGGGTTGGGGTGTCATTCTGTGATAGCTCATGCTTGCCTAGCATGTGCAAAACCTGTGCTCCTCAGTAATTCAAAGAAAAGGGAAATTTTATAAAGACCTACACAGAGGGGAGATGATGTAGAGATGGGCATGTGGTGACAGTGGCAGAGACGGGTGGGATGGAGCTGCTAACCAAGGAATGCCAGGGATGGCCAGATGCCACCAGAAAATAGGGAGGATCCCCCAGAGCCTCAAAAGCAACATGGCCCTGCCAACACCTTTATTTCCAACTTCTAGACTAAAGACTGTGAAACTTCAGTGTTGTTGAACTCATTTCATTTATAGTACTTGTCCCTAGGAAACACACAATCAACAGCTTACAGACGGGGTGGGGGGGATGGGGGGAGGGGGGAGGCACAGAGAAGGCGAGTCACTTGTTCAAACCTGCACAGTTGGTAAGTAATGGCACCTTGATCTGAATGGGAAATCTAGCTTGAAAGGCATGCTTCCTTCTGATGGAATTTATTATTTCAGAAATCATTTGTAAATTTTGTACTTTGTAAATTTGTACTTTGGTAATGCAAATTATTCTTCTCATTTCATGACTGACATCTCTGAACACTTTGTCTTGACCTCAACTTTTACAGAGTGTTCAGAGCAGGGCAACCCTGACAAGTTCTGGAAGCATGGTAGTGGGGGTACTGTGGGCCAAACCAATGGACAGAGCAGCTCCCTGGAGCTTAGGACCAGCCAATGTGGCTTCCTGGTCCTGCTTGGGGACACTGAGTGCAACCAGGACCCAGGGGGTAAGAACTTCAAAGCAATTGAAGCCTTCCCCATAGTCTCTCATTTTTGATCTGTAGAAGCCATAATCCTGGAATGTGGGCTATTAAAAAAAATTTTTTTTTGTAACTTAAGAAAAAGGTCAACTTCAGTACAAGAGAGCTAAAGCAACTTTCAATAATTGCCTTTTCAAGTACACATTCCTTCTTCGTCCAGATGTCCAGAAAATGAAAATATTTTCTGAATGAAACCATGTTGTTTAGATATAAGCAGAAGTGTTAGGATGGAGAAAGTCAGCTGATTACTTGACCCAGGGCCTGTGCAGGTCTGGGTAGCCCTCTGTGAGCCCGCTCCTGAAAGATGTAGGGCTGAGAACAGCCTACCTCAGCAAGTGGAGCCCAAGTGGAACGGCGGCCTCCTTTGTAGCTGGGAGGTGAGCCAAGATGTGCTTGAAATGGATATCAGAGTCCAAAGCAGAATTTGGTCAAACCAAGGGTCAAAAGACCACAGGAGAATTGGGTGCAGGTCATGGTTGGTCTGGACAGAGGAACAGTGTTCAGGTTTCCCCTTAGCTGCACTGTTGATATCAGGAGTAGTTCAGTACTGTCTTCAGATCGACTCATACTGTATTGGATCACACAGGTTTGTGTCCTCCCCTAGGACTTATGGATAGAAAGAAGGATGCTTCATGTGACCCTAACCTCCTGCATTCCTAGGTGCTCTGTAGATATTCAGTAACCACTTACTGCCCAATTGATTTCTTTCCTGGATGGGCTTGTTATAGTGTTTGTGTTGCTATAGCAAAATGCCTGATGCTGGGTAATGCATAAAGAACAGAAACTTAATTTGACTCCTGATTCTGGTGGCTGCAAGGTCCAAAAATCATGATGCTAGCATCTGAGGAGGGTTTCTTGACTGTGTCGCAACACAGTCAAAAACGCAAAGAGGAAATTTGCCATGAACAGAAGGGGTATGCAGGCAAATAAGGAAGTAAGAGGCTGAGGGGGGTCCAGACCTTTTCTTACAACCATCTCTCTCAGGAATGAATCCACTCCTACTTTACTTGACCCACTCCTTAGAGACAGCATTAATCCACTCATATGTGTGGTGCTCCTAAGACCTAATCACCTTGTACTAGACCCAGTTTCTTAAGAGGTCTACCACTTTGACATACTGAGGACCAAGATTCCAGCACATGAACCTTTAGGAACACTCAAACCATATGCAAGTCCTAACACTGGCTTTTGTAATCATGAGCCAAATCATAGAAAAAGGAGAAGGCGCATCTTTGCTGGAAGCAGGGTCAATGGATCTGTAGTGTACTTCAAAGGAGAAAACATGACCCTAAACCCCAGGACACAGCTTGGAGTACATTACAGAAGTCAAGGAAGAGAAGTGAAATTATTCACTTTTGTCTAATGTGGGGGGGGGGGAAGGATGATATAACCAAAAATTTTAAAATGTTAGACATTGAAATAAAAGGAGGGATGGATTAATTTCCTTAATTAAATTTTTTTTCAGACATTAGGCATTGATAAGCTCAGGTTTACCATACACTATTGATAATCCACTTCATTTCACAATTCTAAGTATTTAAAAATAATCTTAGTTCTAACATTTCAATGCCTTCTTGGGAAGAAATTCCCAGACCAGACACAACAGCAGATTTCCACAGCAAACTTGCAAAGGTGTACCCTATGTCTTTTCTTAACCTTTCCTTAAATTCTGAGGATCTACATATCACTATTTGGCTGAACATTTCTGTCTACCTTGCTGTTAAAAGTAGACTTTGAATCACCAAATCCCACAGTGAAATCCAGAAACAAACAGACAGGCCATGACTCACCTGGATGTGGGCAGTGAAGCAAGGAGACTTATTTCTAAAATGCTGATTGCAAAGATGAAGGGCTTGCTGGGGGACATGCTGCCCCTGCTAGGCAGCTCCCCGGGAGATGATCCTTTACAGCAGGTTCTGTAAAGCATTTATTTGCAGAAGGCCAGAGGACAGGGAAGGATTATTGTTTGTATGTGTTAAGAGATTTTGTCAATTTTGACTGCCCGGGCACCGAAGTCCAACTAAAGTAGAGTCATTTTGTAATGTTTGGCTTGTTTTCCCATATTTACACGTATTTGGGGGTAATGAACCTAAATGCGAAAGTGTTTAAGATTAGCATTTGTGCTATGTAAAAAATAAAATGAGATCAGGGGAAAAACAGCAGTTCTAATCTTGGTAGATTCTGGGAGGGAGGGAAGGTGAGGGAATGTGTATTTTATTGAAAATAAAGGCCTGTGGATGATTCTTATAGAGGCATAATCTTGAAGTAAGTAGAAGAATGACATTCAATGGAAAGCAAGGTACAGAAATGATGTTGTAACTACTCCCACTCACAATCCAAAAATGAGATATGTGGGTTGTTTCCATGTGGGCAAGGTAAAGGGTAAAACACATTGACAAATTTCTTTCTTTCCAGGTATAGTGCATCATTTTGAAGAAAAAGAAGTAAACTCTCCAATGCATTAACCATGTCATTTAGAAGGATATGGCCTCCTTATCTCAGAATTACGCATCAGTCAGATAAGCGTCTGAGATGGAAAATTTTGGCTCCCTGCCTTGAAAAGTAGTGTTTGCCTCATGTTATCAAGTTCTCCAGGACTTACAGAAAGGATGACATGTTTTGGAAGTCTTGGAATAGGTGGTAATTCTCTGAAAACTATGCAAATCCCCTGAAAATCTTGGTTGCACAAGAGAATGACCTGGAATGCTTGGTAACATACTGATGTCTGCCTACACCCTGCCCAAGTCGATTGGGATTTTTTAAAAGCTTCTAATGTGTGGTCAGGGTTGAGATTGAGAATGACCAACTTGAGAAAAAAAGACATCAGTGGAGTTTTGTACGTAATGTATCACTGACTTTTAGAAAGACCGCTTGACTTAGTTCTTAAGGGAACTTCTTAAGTGTCTCTTAATTACAAACCATCAAATTTCAAACAGGAGTTCATGTAAAGGCAGAACAGGGTTAGGGGTGAGAGGATGACAGAATATACAGCTAGCTTTTCCAGGACTGCAGGAACTTTGACACTGAGAGTCCTACCTGGAGTACATGGGGTTTACTCTTACCACCCTTTCTTGGCCCCTTTCTGTTTTATGCATAGAGCTTGAGGTCTCAAATAGGATTAATTTCACCCACTCCCAAGCTTGACATAAAGACAATTTATTTGGTTGGTGTGTAGGCTGTGCAGAATTGCCAAGTGATAAGGTGATTCCAGTAGGTGTAACAGCACTCTTCAATGGATGGGTCTATGTCCAGGGGAATACTTCTTGTGAGTCTTAGCCAATGATGGGTGAACTGCACCTGGGTTCAGTCTGCATGCGTCAGCTATGATGTAGCAATGCTGAGAACTCACACATGATCTTTGTGGACCTCACCAGGATGCCCGTGGACCTAAGAACTTGAAAGCAGTCAGCATAGGATTATGCTTTATGCTAATCAGATTTCATGCTCATTGATTAGATTTTTGTGATAATTAGACTTGATGAGTAGGTATGACTAGTGATTGAAAAAGCATCTCTCTCCTTGAACATGAGGGGAAAGGGATACTTCTTGGCTGACTGGTTTGAATTAGGGGCCATTCCAAATTGCTTGGTTTTATTTATTTTATTACCATGGTTCAGGCTAAATGTAATATAGCAAAGAAAAATTGAGATATTAACGTATGATAAAAAGCATTAATTACATATATTAATGGTATGTATAAAATATATAAATAATATAGTATGGGCCGGGTGTCGCAGAAGTGACACCCCCAAGGCCACATAGTTGGGGCAGAGGAAGCATCAGAGCCCCACTCTCTTGGCTGCTGGTTTGGTGCCATTGTCATGACAGTACTTTCAGCTGAGCTCTTTCATAATGAACAAATTTCTCTCCGTGGTTCTGGAACTGTTGGTGAAGCTCAGTAAGTCCAGCTATCCCTTTGTAGTGATAGGATTCCTGTGGCTCAGCTCTGTTTACGATCGCATGGAATATTTTGGGGGGGTCCACCTGATTGCATTACAGCATCTCATTTTAAGGGATGATTCAGTAGAATCTTTTCTGGTTCACCATATCTGCCTAGGCCACCTCCTACCCTCTGCTCACCAATACTCTTGACTGCTATGTGCCTCCTTCTACTCAAACTCCAACCCTCATTTTGGACATTTCAATATTCTCAGGGACATGCCTTTGACCCCCTCCATTTTTTTCCTTCAATTTATCCACTGTATCAACATGTATCTTAATTCAATGGACACTTCTTGGTTCTTAGAAGATTTTAACTCCCCATTCACCTGCCTTTGGTGACCTGCCACCTCCTTACTCTGCTTCTGTTTTGCTAGCTCTTTTTTCTTACCCACCATACAAATGCTGGTGTCTGCTTTCTTCCCTTCTCAGTCTGTTCCTTCTTATCTTATCCACCCTTAAGCTTAAGCCAATTTTCAGACCTAAAGGTCTCAGAGAGTGATCTCTTGAAGTCCCTTTACCAGAATCTCCTAGGTTCTTGTTTTGAAAATATAGTTTCCCAGAAGTGATAATTTAAAGCAGTCATGCGCGCGTATGCGCGTGCGCACACACACACACACACACAGTTTATGGCATTACTTTGCAGCTTAACAGTCCAATTCTAGGAAATCTTCATATGGACTTTGATTTGTTCACACTAAGTTGAACTTGCATATTTAGAATCAAACACTTATTTCCTGCCCTATGAATCTTAAATCAGTGGGGAAAGCTCAGGTTATGTGCAGAGAATATAAAAAGACTGCCCCTCTAGCTCAGAGAAATTTTTGGAAATAAAGCACAAGAGTGAACATGTTTTGAGCAACACTTTGCACCTAAAGTTGTCTAGAATGGGACCAGCATATTAAGAAGGTTGAGGGTGGGCTACGGGCATAGCTGTGATGGAGCACTTGTCTAGCAGGAGAAGAAAAACAACATAAACTAAAAGACATAGAGGATAAGCACACATTTTTCTCCTTGCCATTTGGGAGAACAACTTGCAGACTTTTCCAATATGGAGGAAGTCAAGTTAGAAGGATCTGTGCCATGTGATTGGGCAGAGTCAGAAATAGTATATTTGGCCTACGTTTCTTTTTCTGCTATGTGCCACAGAAAATATCAAAAAGTTACCTTCTGTCCTGGCAAGAGAAGGAAGGGAAGATTGTGGGCTCACTTATATCAAGGACAACACTGTCCTAGAACCAAAGCTCAGAGTGTACAGCTTTAGGAGGGATCTGAGGCAGCAGGGGGTCACCAGATCACACAGGCCCTGTGCAGGGAGGGGACCCTAAGCTTTACAGCAAGAAGCTTGAGCCACAGAAACCAACAAGGTAGTGATGAGGTATAAGCTGTAAAGAGTAGAAGAACAAGAAGATTATATAAGGCCATATAAGGAACCTACAGAGGACACTCATCAACATCCTTCTCCATGTTCACCTAAATCTAAGCCACACAGATTTGAGAAAGAAGAAAGGGAAAGTTTTAAACTCTGTGAGTCCTAACTACTGGATTGAGGATACAGGATCTGAGTGAATGTGGATGCTTGTATCTCATAGAGTGGAGACTTTTGAAAATCAGATGAAAGAAAGAAAGAAAGAAAGAAGGAAAGAAAGAAAGAAAGAAAGAAAGAAAGAAAGAAAGAAAGAAAGAAAGAAAGAAAGAAAGAAAGAAGGAAGGAAGGAAGGAAGGAA